TGCGGTGTGTGTGTGTGTGTGTTACTCACGGGATAAGTGCGCTGACGGTTCTCAGATCAGGAGGATTCTGGGTAGCGAGATCACCAACATACTCCAGCAGAAAGCCGAACAACTTCTGAACACGGAATAAAACACAATCACATTTAACACACACACACACACACGCTCTCACACACACACGCTCAACGGCTCCGTGTCAAACGCTAAACACACTGTGTGACATCTACATAGGCAGCATCCTGACAGACTCAAAAAATCACTTAAAGTGAGGAGATTAAAAACGGTCAAACAACTTCTATTGAAGCACTTGAGATGTTTTTAAACTAAAACCATAAAAGTTTTTTATTTAAATGAAATACAATACAAAATAACCCAAAATAAAATACAAAAACCTTATAATAATAATAAAAATAATTTTATTTTATATAGCGCCTTCATGTTACTTTCTCAAGTCGCTTTACGTAAAAGCTTTACACAAAGGCAAACACAACAATATAAGACAATATACTGCAAATATAGCAAAAGACGAATAGCAAAGAACAACACAATAAGAAACTAATCAAATAAAAGCAATCCTGTAAAAAAAGTTTAAGAATAATACATTTGAAGAATAACAATTTTTTATTTCAGCTAGTTGCCTAGGCAAGTTTAACTTGATGTGCTAAAATAACTAAAACTGAAAAAAATAAAATAAACATTAATAAAAACTATATAGACATAATAAAAAAATGATGAAAATGACAAAAATGCAACAAAATAACTAAAACTTACTAGGGGTCGGAATCACCAGAGGCCCCACGATACGATATTATCACGATACAATATAATTGCGATTTTACATATATTGTGATATTCTGCAATATATTGCAATCTATTACCTTTTTCCAACTTCGAATTATGTCCCCAAAATAAAAATTGGCAACATGTGTTTTAATTAAAAAGAACATTTCTCAGTTTGTTTATCTCAGTTTTATTGCTGCAGTGCTAAATGGGATTGTCAAGCAGACAAACTGACTAACACTTTCATGAAAACCTGTCATAAATGTTGTATGCACCTGACAAACTCAACTATTAGTATTACAGTCTAATCTAGTCCACCTTAATTAAATGTAAACAGGTATGCACTGCTGTGCTACTACAGGTATTCTGAACAATGCAACTTGAACTTGCACAAAAAAAGTTTGGTGCATTTTAAAGTAAATTGCTGTTAAATTTAAAATAAATAAAACTAAGTTTTACATCCAATTTAAACGCGGACATTTATTTTACTAACTTGCTGCATGCTGAAGGTGACCCAGCTGACCTCACAAGAAAAAAACTCAACACTACCATCTAGTGGACTGTAAAGAAATTTATTTAATTATTCAACCAAATAGTATAATAAAAGATTGATACTTGGCGTCCGTGTATCGATACAGTATTGCCGCAGAAAATATCACGATACTATGCTGTATTGATTTTTCCGCCACCCCTAAAACTTACTAAAATAAAAAAACAAACAGAAAATGTCTCTGACCTGTAGTTTGGCTTTGTTTCCTGCGGCCAGACTGGGATGGTGACACTTCAGTGTTCTGTCCAGAATGAGGCACTGCTGATCTGATCCGTGATCCTGCAGGAGTGCCTTCAGATCACTGTAGCTCTCTGGAGCTGAAGCACACACACACACACACACACA